CAGGCAGAATTTCTAAAGGGTATGAATTTATGGAATCAACGCAGAAAATTTCAAATACAAATGCCATTCATTCAACATTACTTAACTTGTGTCCTTCTATGGATGAGGTACTTTGTGAGGTGTTAAACATAAACTAGAGACCCAAGCTGAAAGTTTTCTGATCAAGGTTTACAGGCTCTTCCAACATAGACAAGTAAGGACACTTTGGTAGAATGGAGAGCAGGAAGTGAATGATACCTGCAATACTGGAGTTGACAGTTTGGCCCCTCAGGGTATGAAATGAAGAGAGGAGAGACAAACAGCTCTAGAAAAGCTTAAGAGAAGAGTCAATGATATGCAGAGCAGAAAACAGTGCTGGGGAAGAAACAGCGTGAATTTAAATATCAAAGATGGAGCATCTCTGGGAACTGAGAAAAATCTCAGGTGGTCATATGACTGGGCTTTAGAGATGGAGGTGGAGCCGAGACTACGAGACAGAAGGACTGACCATCCCTCCCAGGATGCTGGGCCAGGGGAGCAGGGTGGCATGACATCATCAAGAGCCTCAGCCTGAGATGGAAATGGTCACAGCCTCTCGATGCAGAGCAGTAGACGTAGGGGTGGTTTTACTTCTCTGAAATAAGTTAGCCAAAGTCTAGACTGATTTCATACATGTGTATATATAAATATATATATATACACACACATACATAAAATGGTAATATTAATAGAATAACAATAAAGAATTTAACATTTCTAAATATTTGTGTTCTGGCTACTGTTCTAAGTCCTCTTCGTAAATGAGCTAATCTTCACAATAGGAAATAGATACTATTGTACCATTGAAGAGACATTACCAAGTTGACATAGGTAAGAGCGAAGGAAGCCAGGATTCTAACTGGGCTGACTGGCTCTGGAAGATTCTCTCAGGCTCACATGTCATCGCCTCTCAGCCATGCCTTACCGTTCCTGAAGATTTACTACATGTCAGGCTCTGCTAAGCACCTACTATTAATGTACCATTTAATGCCCACAACACTCTAGTTTGGTTTGTTATGTTTGGGCAGATGCTGCAGGTTGTTTTTCTTTCTGTTTTTCTATTTTTTTCCCACACGAAGCATATTTTACATGAGAAATCCCATGTAAAATTCCAGATTGATGATTTACCTTGATTAAAAAGCAAACAATCCAGTCATACTGAGTCTCCCTGTCACCTCTTGCCGGCAACCAGCAGAAGCGACTTCTCAACATGAATTCCACCTCGCCCTTCCATAACCGTCCTCACTGCCCCTACTGCCCACATCTAACCTAACTTCTCATCACCCGAGTGATCACTGTGGACATATGAGTACATGACACCTATTGTAATTATATCTGTGTGTTAAAAACAAACAAACAAACAAACAAAAAAACACTAAAAAGCTGTAGGACTTAAATGTTTAGATTAGGCAGTCCAGTTCAAACTCCAAGTCCACACTCATAAGCTCCTCTTTTCTTGGGCAAATGCCTTAATCTCTTTAAGCCTCATTATCCTCACATCTAAAATAGGGTTACTAATAATGCTTAACTGAGAGTGTTCTTATGAAATAATTAAATCAGATAATGCCTGAAAAGAAGTTAGCTTGGAATTCAATATTAATTTTTATTGCTATTTTTACCGAGAATACCAGGAAGTTGGTATAAATAGGTCATATATGCCATCTAAAGCAATCAGGACTTAGGCGCAGATTGGGGTAGGTGAGGTTGTGTCTTGTGTAGAAAAAGGCAGAGGAGAGGGGCAGGTGAAAGCAACCCCTCTGGGGGACGTTGGGCCTGCAGCATGCTGCCCGGCAGGAGCGCTGCCAAAGAACCGTCCCAGAAAGAGTCCAGTGGTCATCATTCCTGTGCGGCTTTGACTCTGTAAATGAATTTCTCTGGACAGCTGAAATGTTCGTCAAAGTGAAACACTGAATCACAGCTTTCTATGATTCATTTTCTCAGGCCTGAGATGATGGATCCCTGATTTCTCCTTCATTAGGTGGATCTTTTGAGTTCTTTCACAGGCCCTGTAACAGCCATTCTACAGGGCTGCCACCTTGACCCTAGCCCACAGCTCCTCATCTGTGAACCAGATGAATTGTGCCTTAATTCGCCTCTTTGTCTTCAACCTGTCCCCATCTGCAAGCCTAATGGCAAACTCTTACAGCCTGAACTGTCCTCAACAGCGTTTGACACATCACCTTGGTTTATACAATTTTGCTGTGGTTTGCATCAGCCTGCAGAATAGAATCTGAACGTGTCAGTCATCGCTGGGGCTTCTGGCTGGCACCTGGGGTATTTATTCACTCTCGCGCAACTGACTGCCCCCAGCACTGTGTCCATGACACCTCCGTGTTTGTGCTCTCTCTACCGCGTGGACTGGACGCGCTCGGCGTGCATGCCCTCTGTTGCATCCACATCACATCCAGCCAGATCCCATGCAGCTACCGAGCCGGAACCTGACACTTTCTATCAGGGGTCAGCAAACCTTTCCTCTAAAGAACCAGTGAGTATGTATTCCAGGCTTCGTAGGCCACCCAGTCTGTTTCCCAGCCACTCCACTCTGCACTTAAAGCAGGAAAGGAGCCATAGGCAACATGTACAGAAATGGGTGGGGCTGGCTCTCCATTAAACTTTATTTATGGATATGAGAATCTAAATTTCATGGGTCACACAATGTTTTTCACCTTTTGATTTTTCCCAACCATTTGAAAACGTAAAAACCATTTTTGGCTCATGCGCTGTACAGAAACAAGCAGTGGCCACAGCAGAACTTAGTTGACTGACTCTTGCTTTATATGCATACTGTTTGCTGATCCATACTCTCTTTTTTCACTTTTTAAAATTAAGGTATAACTTACATTTAGTGTACCAATCTTAACCAAACATCCCAGTGAATGTTGACTTTTGTAGATAACCATGCTACCGTCACACAGATCAAGATACAAAACATTTCTAGGAGCCTAAGGTTCCTAAATGGTCCCTTCTAATCACACCGTAACAGAAGACCAACCTCTTTTGGCTGCCAAAGCATTCTCCATGCTTCCTTTCATAGGCCTGGATACAGTAATGGGGAAATGACCCTGTACAATCTAAACTTTCACAGAGCAGAAAGAAATCCAGAAGACAAAGCCGCATAAATGAAACTTCGGCTATCATTAACTACCACAACCACGGAAAAGAATGTCTTTTCAAAGACGGGCGATGTATGGTTAGAAAAACAGAAAGGCAATGTGTTAGTACACATTCATTTTCCTGGCAGTCTCATGCTGACACTGCATTTCCTTACCTGGGTCAAGGTGAGCGTTGCTTGTCTGCAGGTACTGCACTGTACCCTGAGTTTTCCCGGCTGCACTCTTTGACAGGGGCCTTTGCAATACACATAAAAGCTGTTGTAGATTGGTCTATCTGCTGGGGAAGAAAAAGCAGAGGAAGTGGCTAACAATGTTAAATCCAAATTGAGACAAGAAACTCTTTAAAAGCTTGTTAGAGGCAAATTTTAAAACTCAGTCCTTAGGAACATTTTGAAACATTACTGGAATAAATATTCCAATGAGAATACAACAATTTAATTTAGAAAATCTAACTTTCTGCTCCAAGAGTGAAATCTTTTCTTTCTCTTGCCAATAGCCCTGTGACTTACTCAGCAAAGTATGCAGCCTACTGCCAAAAGAATCGGCCAAGTGTATCTGCAACACAGTAAAGTCAAAGGCGCTCTTTGCCGTGGAAGTTTTAAAAGATGACAGGAATTCTTTCAGGAGGATCCTGAATTCTATTTCATGCTTCTGGACACAGTTTTGAAGACCGTAGATTTTTCCTCATAAAATCTTATTTATAGAGAAAAACCAGCCCATTTCTCGTGATATAAATGATACGATCACAGTTTGCTGGCCTTCCAGGGATGACTTTTCAATTCACAGTCACACATAAAATAAGAAAAGAGGCCAACCCTGAGGAAGTTTCACAGACCAAGCAGCTGTGTGCAGAAATGGATGGTTTGCATTTCATTTATGATCTAACTAGGCAAACACCATTCAAATAATACACTTTCAAGAGGAAAAGGTGAACAAACAACTAATTCAATAGTTCAATCTCAGATCATTTCTCTCAACTGTCACCATATAGGGATACTCTGTAAATTAGGGAAATTTAATCATCTTATACTTCCATATCTGTTAAGAATTAATTTTATTCATAAGCACTTACCAGAAATACAACCTCCTTCTTGAATTTCTAAATTTTGAAAATTACTAAATAGCTTTTTCTTTCAATCCTTACCTGGGTGGGATAATATAACAGATCATGACATAAAAGTTTCCTTGAAATTGTACTATAATCATCAGAGGCATCTAGATATAATAGTTAAGTTTTATTTTTTAACATTTGGAATGAAAATCTTCAGTCTCGCAAATGCATATCGTCTATTAAAAACAACTAGAACAAAAATAATGAAAAAAATGAGAGATTCTCAAGTCCTTTGTAGCTTCATTTGTTTCATGAATTTACAAAAAGAGCTTTTGCAGACATATTGGATTATCATTTGTTGAGCTACCTTTGCTAATATTGTAGGTGACAATACCTTGCAAAATCTGAAGCACAACAAAGACATAAAGTTTTATAGTTTTATCATTTGTTTGCAATTTATTTTATAATTATTACTCTATAAAGATTACTATTTAGTTTCCAGTGGGAAATGGAAGATAAAATGTAAGTACATGTTTATATTGATGTGAAAGTACTATTTTCTGACACTTCTGTGCAACTTTAATGCCTTAATGTACAAGATATTCAAGTACATAAATATCACATTGCTGTTAGCAAACATAATAATGACATAAAATGTTTCATGTGTAATATAAATGCAGCATAGAACCGTGTATTAATGTTATAGAAACATTTGTAACAACTGACTGAAATATCTGTAATATATAAGTAAATGTTAATAGAAGTATCTGTAACATAAATATTTGCAACATGCAGAGTATCAAAAGATCACCAGAACTGTGATAATTTTGATGTGCACTAAGAAGCACTTAGTGAAGAAGGTAGGAACCTTTACTATTAAAACCTTTATCAGCAATATGAACAAATCCAATTTCACAATTTTTATAACCTACTGTAGAGGTCAAACAATAAAAAAAAAAGGAGGAAGAAAAGTAACGGGAAAAGCAAAAGCTTTGCAAGGCGAGTCAGGGTTGCGAAGACACTAGCATTGTTGAAAGAGCATATTAGCGAGAGTTTTACAATATTAAAAGAAGCATCTCAGCAATTGCAGGAAACTAAATGACTCTTGTCTCTCCCATAGGGCAATAGTGATGTTTGCAATATTGTTTCAGCTAATGATATATCAAAGCAGAATCCGAAAACTAAGGAACTCTTCCACCTCTGAATGCTACAACCTTCACTAAAGTCCTTCAGAAGTTATTCAGAAAATACTGCATGCCAATGTCCGTGCCCTAGAAGCATACAAGATGACATGCAATCTATTACACACATTGCTTTCCAGACCCA